AATATTGCTACATTAGCTTTATTTTCCTTTTTGTTTGCTTGGAAAATTTTTTTTCATCCCTTCACTTTCAACCTAAGTGAGTCTTTTGTTGAAGGTAGGTCTCTTCTAAACCATATATATATATATACACACACACACACACATATATGTGTATATATGTGTGTATATATATATATATAGATAGATAGATAGATAGATAGATATGTCATGCTTTCTTATCCTTTCAGCTACTCTGTGTCTTTTGATCTGAACATTTAATCCATTTATATTTAAGGTTATTATTGATAGGTACTTATTTATTGTCATTTTTGTTTATTATGGTTATGTTTCTCTTCCTTTTCTGCTTATTTTTTTTAAAATATGTTTTTATTGATTTTTTTAGCGAGAGAGAGGAAGGGAGAGTGATAGAAACATTGATGTGAGAGAGAACCATTGACCAGCTGCCTCCTGAATGCCCCCTACTGGGGATTGAGCCCGTAACCTGGGTATGTGCCCTGACCAGGAATTGAACTGGAAGCTCTCAGTCTGTGGGACGATACTCACTCCACTGAGCCACACCGGCTGGGCTTTTCTGCTTATTACAGCAGTCCTTTTAATATTACATGAAGTGCTGGTTTGGTCCTAATATATTCCCTTAGACTTTTTTTTTTGCCTGGGAAACTCTTTATTTCACCTTCCATTTTGAATGATAGCCTTGCTGGATAGAGTAGTCTTGGATTCAGATCCTTGTTTTTCATTACCTTGATAACTTCATGCCATTCCCTTCCGGCCTGTAGTGTTCCTGTTGAGAAGTCAGCCGATAACCTTATGGGGGTCCCTTTGTAGGTAACCTGTTGCTTATCTCTTGCTGTCTTTAGGATTCTCTCTTTTCTTTAATTTTTGGCATTTTAATTACTATGTGTCTTGATGTGGGCCTCTTTGGGTTCTTCTTACTTGGGTCTGTCTGTGCTTCTTGGACTTGTATGCCTTTTCCCTTCACCAGGCTAGGGAAGTTTTCTGTCATGATTTCTTCAAATATATTCTCAAACCCTTGCTCATTTTCTTCTTCTTCTGGCACACCTAGGATGTGGATGTTGTTATGTTTCATGTTGCCCCCACCGTTCTCTTAGGCTGTTTTCCTGTTTTTTAATTGTTTTTTTTTCTTTTTGGTTTCCTGATTGGGTGATTTTATCTACCCCGTCTTCTAATTTATTGATCTGGTCCTCAGCTTCCTCTACTCTTCTGGTTATTCCTTCCAATGTATTCTTTATTTCTGCTACATCATTCTTCATTTCCAATTGGTTGGTTTTCACTCTTTCTATAACTTTACTGATGCTGTTGAGCTTCCTCTTGATTATTACTCTGAACTCTCCTTCTGATATTTGCTTAATTCTATGTCATTCATTTCTTCTCCTGCAGAATTATCTTGTTGTTTCATTTGGGATTTGTTTCTTTGTTTCACCATTTTGGTTGTCTCAGTGGGTTTCAGACCCTGCCAAATTTTCCCTGTGGGTATTGGTGTTCCGCTCATTGTGGCTCCCTCTACTTGGTTTGGGTGAGTGTGGGCGGACCCACGTTAAACACCACTGTCAACCTAGGTAGATTTGAAAGCCAAGGAAAAGTTCCGTTATCCTCTAGCTTTTTGCCTGGAGGCTATTAGTCTCAGTTACTTGATGAGCCTGGATTTGTAGCCCTCAGCTGAATGAAAAATTCCTCAGCTGTAAGATAATTTCCAATGGGTGGGGTATTTACTTACTATCAGACTTGAGATGTTAATGAGCCTCAATTTGCAGTTCTTTGGCCTGTCCTGGTGATGTGGAATCCCTGTGGGAGGGGCCATTGCTTCTCCTGAGGCTCTGGGAAGGGGATTTTTGAGTAAGATGACTACTGTCCTATGAGGGGGGGGATTTAGTATAAGACTCCTGGTGCCTTCCCGTCCAGCTCTCAGCTCTCTCCTGAACCAGGAGCCCTAGACTCTCTTCATATAGTTCCAGTCCTGTCTGCCCTCCCTCTGCTGGAGCTCAAGGTGAGTGGCTCTATTTGATTTGGTGCTTTTTAAACACCTGCTTTCTCAGTGGGAAGTGCACACAGCTCATACAGCCCTCGTTGCTGTCCATGGGCTCTCAGCCTCCCCCATGCACCTCCACAGTTCCTATCAGGCTCAATTTGGCTTCTTCTTAGTCCCTGCTTGTACTGGCTTTCTTCCAGCTGCTCTTCAGTTGGATTTTCTCAATGTTTTGTCTTTATTTTAGTTTTAATTCCAGTTTGGTCCCGGGAGATGGTCTGTGTAGCTTCCATTCACTCCACCACAATCTCTTTTTAACAGATTCTCTTTTAAAATAAGGAGTGTTGGTGATAGGTGCATTCTATAGCCCAATAATTTTTTTAAAATGCTTTAAAACTGAATTCTCCTCTTGGAGACTCACAATGTATATAAGCACATTAAAGGTTCTGAGGACTTGGGCATGGACAACAGTGTCCAGGCATATAACTTCTTTAGTGAATGGTTTTAAGTTAGACCTGTTCATTCTTCTTGTGCATCTAGGTTAAGACTCCTTTGAAATATCAGAAGTAATACCCCTGGAAAGGGTCATTACCACTCAAAAAAGCACATAGTTTTGGTAACTATCCTGTAACCTAATCCCCACCCTGCTTTATTTCAGCCTCCATGTCACCTTACTTATATTCCTTCCTTAATTCCAAATGCATAAAAGAAATTGTAAAACTGTTATTCTATGGAACATGTGAGACTTTTCTCCTGGCATATGTCAACTTTTATAGAAATTATCTATGAGTTTGGATATTTCTTACATCAATGTTTACTTGATATAATTGGCAGTGTTCTGACAAACCCACCCAGGACCACCCTGAGGACCCAGACCAGGTGCTAGGTACAAGCAAGGGCCCATTGTACCCCACTGGCTTCCCACTTTGCATTGGGTAACCTAGGATTTTTCTCTTGGAATCTCAGACCTTCTTGATTTAAGTAGAAGGCCAATACTTTATTTGAGCCCTTCTTAGAGAATCCTCGAGTGGATAGTGGTCGTGATAAACCAGTGATAGAAAAAACATAAAGGTTGTTGCCTTTAATTTCTGGATTTTAATTGAATTACTTAATGAAAGTGAACAAAATCTTTGTAGGTTAAATGAGATACTGAGCTCTCTTGAGCTCCAAAAAAGAAAGGATGCTTGCTCCCCGACTTGAATAATGGGGGCAACAATAGTTATTCAGATCCTGATTCTGAAGTGATGGAGATGTGTGCCATGAAGTGTCCACTGCATAGTGCAGCCAAGCCTGGAGAAGCGAGAGGGAGCCCCAAGTTTCCCTGGAATGGGTGCACCCAGAGAAAGGGGCCCAAGAGAGGGGCCTGTGCCTTGGAAAGTGTCATAGTTTGGGAGGTGTCAGACAAGCTTTCACCTTGCTCAGGTTTTCTTAGGTGACTTTGAATCTGCGAATTTGCCTGAGGGCATAAAGCCATCCAACAGAGATACAGAAGGACAGATGTAAATTGTAAATGCCTTCAAAAGAACATTTGGATCCAGCTGGTTGTCTGTGTCTGTCTATATATGTATGTTGCAAATGTGAGATAATTTTTTACCTGTGGATAGTATTGTTAAAATTAATTTAAAAGCAAGCACTTGTAAGGATTGGATATTCCAAAGTTATCAGAAATGTAGAAACTAATTCAAATGCTTTTCAAGTTCACAAGTTCTAAGATTAATCCCTGGTAAATAAAAGCTAGCTTAAGGTTGTTGGTTTAAGAAAAACAGATGTGTTTATTTTGCCTGGGCTCTACAAAAATAAGTCCATGTTAATAATGGACTTTTATGTCTATGAAAAATGTTTCTAGAGGTTATAAAATATCCAAGCTGAAGTATGCTAATTAATAACTTCTTAGTTTTTATTAGACATTGAGGTCTTAAGGGTTAAAATCTCAATATATGTAGAAAAACTAGGGTATATTGTTTGAGTAAATAATGGTTATGAATTAAATGAATAGCTGGGGCTTTGGGAAACCTAAGATGACCACTTATTTATTCTCTGTTCCCTGAGTCCCCAATTTTCTACTTTTGCATCCCTCTCTACATCATAGTGCATTGCAGCTGGACTTAGATGAAGGAACATATGAGCTGATTTTACCGAAAAGAAGTATCTGGCCTGATGGCCAAGTTCTGATCAAGGCGAAAACGCCAGCTTGGTAATAGCTTCTTTTCACAGTGAGCTCCCAGGAGGCCAAAAGGCTGGTTATGGAAGCATTGGTCACATTCATTTATGACAAAAATGTGGAACTGTGGACACAAAAGTGGTTGTACAGAAAGTAACCTCACAGGATGATCTGACAACAGACTTCCAACTGGGCTGGTCATGGTGGGTAGTCATGTCCCAGGCCTATAGCTTCTTTAGTGACAGCTCTTCAGCTAGCTCTGTCCATTGTTCTTGTGCATCTTGGATCAGACACCTTTGAAATACCAGAAGAAATACTCCTGGAAGAGGGTATTATCCCTCAAAGGAGCACGTACTCCTGCTGACTATCCTGTTATCCCGTTCCTGTCTGGCTCTCCCCACCTCCGTCATCTTCCTCATGTTCCCCTTAATCTCAAATGCATAGGAAAGGCTGCAAAATGGTTGTTCTCCAGAGCATCCGAGATCATATTCCTCAGTATATGTTGCCAGTTTGACTTAAATAAACTTATAAAAATTCTCTACAGGTTTGGATGTTTCTTACATTGACGATCTTGGGCTCCGAAGCTGCTCGTAGGGTATACTGTTGCCCCTTTGGGCCCCTATCGAACGAGCAGCACCCCTTATGCTGACTGTACTATTTGATAAGTTGTAATCCTTGCAACACTGTTAAATGATGGTGTCTGTACTACAATTGTGTGACCAAAGACAACTTAAAAAAAGTTATTTATGTATTTTCACTTCAACATTTCTATTTATTTAAATTTATCTTTATTGTTGAAAACATTACGACGTCTCTCCTTCTTGCCCCCCATTTTTTTTATTTTTATTTCTTTCTAGATGTTTTCTGCATGGTTTATCTCCTCAGTCACTGTCCACAGACTCTGAAAAGCTGTAGGAATATGCAGGTGTCGACTGAAGGCCGGCTTTCTGTCCAACGCTGGGCAAAGGACTGGACACCACGGGGCAGGGCAGAGCCCTGTGCTCTCCTGTGGCACCTGGACAGAGCCTTGGGGGAGTGACCTCTCCAGGTATCCACGTTGGACAGCCTTTTTGTTCCAGAAGCCTGGGCTGACTAGGGCTTGCTAATGCTTAATCATATTACCCATTATTTTCACCTCAAAACCGTACTTGCTTGCCAGCCAAGCCTTGAAAGTCTAGTTGCCTCCACTAATCAGAAAACAAATGATGTAAATTTATGGTCTTGTTAATCCCTAGCAACCCATCTCTTTGATCAACTCCTTTTAACGTTTTCCTTTGTAAACCTGCACTAATCCGCCACCCCCTTTGGAATGTATTCTCAGTTCATGTTGAATACAAATCATAATTCGAATAAACACTCTTAACATTTTTAAAAAATTTAGCCCCATACTTTTGTTTACAGAGGATATTTCTTTTCTTTTCAATTTTTAACTATTTTGAGTAGAGTTATTATGAACATTCTCAAACAAGTTTTCCTGTGGACATGTTCTCTTTTTTGTTGGGTAAACACATAGGAGCAGGAATTTTTGGGTCATATGATAAGTATATATTTAGCTTTATAAGAAGTTGCCAAATAGGTCTTCAAAATAGTGTTACCATTTTTACATTCTAATACTACTAATGTGTGAGTTCCCATGTTCCACATCCTTGTCAACAAATGGTGTTAATCTCTTTACTTTAGCCTTTCTAATGGGTGTGCATTTCCCTAGTAACTATTGATGTTGATGTTTTTAGATGCTTATCTTACAAGCTATTCAGATAACTTTTGTGAAGAGTCTGTTCAAGTCTTTTGCTTATTATTAATCAGGTTAATCAGGTGGTTTGTTATACTCTTATTTATTTGTAGTAGTACTTATTTACTGTCAACACAAGTATATCCAAACGTAGATTTTTTTTTGTTTCAGTCATTGTATTATTATTATTATTTTTTTGTAGAAAGTTTTTATAAAAATTTATTTGAGCCAAACAGAGGAAACACCTGGAAGCAAGATCTAATCAGACTGACATAAATGCTTCAGACAATAACAGTTTGCAATTCTTTTTATGCATTTGAAACAAAGGAGGGAAGGTAAGAAAGATAACCAGGAGGTGGGAGAAAGCAAGGCAGGGAATCAGGTTACAGAATAGTTAAGGTTCTGTGCTCCTTCAGGGTGGTCACGCTTTAGAAGGAGGGGTCACATGATAGAAGTGAGGTCTGAAAACAGGCATTTCAAAGTTGTGTCCATCTAGATGCGCAGAAACAATGGACAGGGCTTCCTCGAGGCAAAGATAAGCTTTTACCGAAGAAAGTTATATGCCGGGGGTGTGACTATGCACATGACCTGCCCAGTTAGGAATTTATTTATGTATGCATTTATGTATCTATGTATGTATATATGTATTATTATTATTATATTTAGGAATTTATGATCAGATCATTCTATGAGCTTTTTTCCATAGAACCCATTTTTTGTCCACAATATTCTGCATACATCTTTTATTAGAAATATGTATGTATGGTGAATGCTTTCTCCCTCTCATGGCTTGCTTTTTTATTTCTTTTTTTTTTTTTTATCCTCACCTGAGGATATTTTTCCATTTTTTGTTCAGACAGAGCGGGAGGGAGAGAGAGGAAGAGAGAGAGAGAGAGAGAGAGAGAAACATCAACGTGAAAGGGACACATCGAGTGGCTGCCACCCGCACGACCAACCAGGGCCAGGGACAAACTGCAACCGAGGTACGTGCCCTTAGCGGGAACCAAACCCGGGTCTCTCTGGACCTCAGGCCAATGCTCTAACCATTGAGCAAACTGGCCAGGCCAGGGCTGCTTTTTCATTTCTCAAATGATATCTTTGATTAGTAGAAAATTTTAGTTTTGATAAAGTACAATTCCTTATTTTTGAAATTTTATGATTATCACTTTAATAGCCTCTGAAATTGGTAGAGTGAACGGATATATTTGGAATGAATGAATAAAGAAATATTGAAATTCTAAACAAAGCTGTGGATAGTGTTCTGGGTTCTGTGTTCTGAACAGATAAGAACTTGTCTTATGGAATCATCGACAAGATGAAAATCACATTGATTGGGAGATCAAGGTTTAGGTTTTGTTTTTGTTTTTTAATATGTTTTTATTTTTATTTGTTGTAGAGAGAGAGGAAGGGAGAGAGAGCTAGAAACATCGATGTGGGAGAGAAACACTGATGTGAGAGAAACATCAATCAGCTGCCTCCTGCTCCCCTCCTACTAGGGATTGAGTCTGCAACTGAACCTTTCAGTCCTTGGGATGAAGCTCAATCCACTGAACCACACAAGGTGGGTGGGTGGGGTTTAGTGGGTTTTGAGAAGGGCAACTTTGACGTAGTCCTGAGAAGTGAACCACTGCATGGTGTTGGCAGAGCAAGCTAGAGGATGGTGTGGGGATGAGGGTCCTGCCTTCATGGGAGACCAGGGATGCTGGAAACCAGTTCTATGTGGATTTGCGAATGAGATGTCAAGTGTACTAACATGAGTGGTTTCCCCAAGGCAGGGGCTAGAGATGATGTCCATAAATGAACTGGAGATGACACAGAGAGGGAGAGTCTGATAAGCACCTGTGTTAAGCTTGCTGGTGACCTGAGTCTATGTTCATAGTTGTAGTTAGACACCCCCACACACCCCCACACTCATATGTGTACTCACACTATTAATATAAGTATTATTTCCCTTTGCTGTTATAATTTTCAAAGTACTATATGTAAGTGTTAAAAGGTGACTCATTCTCCAAAACTCTTATTAAAATATAAAAGTCCCACCCTGGCCGGTTTGGCTCAGCAGTTTGGCTCGGTCGGCCTGCAGTCCCGAGAGACCCGGGTTCGGTTACTGCTAAGGGCACGTATCTCGGTTGCAGTTTGTCCCCCGGCCCTGGTTGGGTCATGCGGGTGGCAGCCACTCGATGTGTCCCTTACACTCAGGTCGATGTTTCTCTCTCTCTTCCTCTCTTTCCCCTCCACCCTATCTGAACAACAACAACAACAAAGAATATATATATATATATAACAGTCCCCCACCTCAATCCTTCCGATCTTCAACTCTCACTCCCTGGAACTCACTGCTTTCAATTATTTTTCTAAATAACCTATTTTATCCAACTATCTCTTGCTTTTTCAGTTTTAGGTGTTACATATTGACTTTTGTGGGGAAAAAAGGAGTTCTGGAATAAGTCATAAATTCCTAACTGGCTAGGTCATGAGAGGGAGTCACGCCCTAGGCATATGACTCCTTAGTGAAAGGTTTCAAGCACCCTGTTCATTGCTTTTGTGCAACCAGATCAACACATCTTTAAAACACCAGAAATAACATCTCTGGATGGTGTGAACCGTCCTTAAGAAAGCACATAACCCTGTAGTACAATCCCTGCCTTGCTTTCTCCCACCTCATCTACTCTTCCTTACATTCCCTCCTGAATTGTAAATGCATAAAAGGAATTGCAGAACTGTTCTTCTCGGGGACATTTTAGATCTTGCTTCTGGGAATTCTCAGTTTTGGCTCAAATAAACTCATAAAAATTCTCTACAGGTTTGGACATTTCTTATGTCAATACTTCTTACTAAGAAAAATGAATACTCAGTGTTCCTGGGTGTTCCTCATGTTCCACCCATGTATCAAAATTTGTTGGTTAGATAATTACAGAGAATATGGATGCTATGGCTATTATTTACATGTTAGCAACACAGTGCCTTGTAATTTTATTTTTCTTTTCTGTCCAATGTTTTCTTTTATTTTTGGTGTTAATAATGGTCTAAATTTTTTTGTTTATTTTATTTTATTTTTAAAGTGATCTTTATTGAATCCTAACATTACATAGTAATTCAAAGTTCTGCCCTTTTATTTTTTTATTATTTTTTTTAGCCTCACCCGAGGACATTTTTCCATTTTTTGTTCAGATAGAGTGGGAGGGAGGGAGGAAGGGAGAGAGAGAAAGAGAGAGAGAGAAACATCGACGTAAAAGGGACACATCGAGTGGCTGCCACCCACTCACACGACCAACCAGGGCCGGGGACAAACTGCAACCGAGGTACGTGCCCTTAGCGGGAACTGAACCTGGGTCTCTCTGGACCGCAGGCCGATGCTCTAACTGCTAAACCAAACCAACCAAGGCTGTCTAATGTTTTTTTCTTTGCTTAGTTTTGAATGTGTTTATCATGAATTCATCCAGAAACCTCTGCTTGAGGTGTTAATGTCCTCTTAGGAAGTTCAGAGGGGACACCACTCCTGGAACCTCTGCCTTCCTCTGCCTGTCTGGACTCGCTGTTTTCTAAACTTGCCTCATGGCTACTGTCCAGACATAGCATCTGGCAATTCTCTTTTTTTCGTCCTATATACATCTTTTGTTAGCTCGGTTTCACGTCTTCCTCTTCCTCAGTTTACCCACTTGTTTCGGGGAGGAGGAATGTACATTTTCCATCAACCTCCTCAAAAAGACTATTTCTTCTTCCCCCAAATATTTTGTTTTGAAAAATACTGAACCTAGAGGAAAAGTGCAAGAATTTTACAATCAACACACATAGTTTAAACATTTTTACAACGTTTGCAATTGCTCTGTCTCTTCTCTTTTTTGCTCTTCTCTCTGACCTTCTCTGTGAATTGAATCTCCATGTGAACTGTTTGAGAATTATTTACAAACATCATAACTTCACCCCTAAATACTTCATCATGAGCCTTCTGAAAGTTACGCATGTAGAACCTGACTTTCATAACCACAGTTCACTTACCACACTCAGGAAATTTAACATTGATACAAGGCTACTATATAAAATAAAATATATCTATACCGCACTGGTTGGTGTAGCTCAGTTTGTTGAACCTCCTTCTGTGCAATGAAAGGTCACTGGGTTAGATTCCGGGTTGGGGCACACACTCAGGTTTCTGGTTCAGTCCCTGGTCAGGGTGTGTATGGGAGGCAACCCATTGATGTTTATTTTTTTCTTTCTTTTTTTTTTTTGTTTGGTACGTGCCCCTAGCAGGAACCAAACCCGGGACTCTCTGGTCCACAGGCCAATGCTCCAACTGCTGAGCCAAACCGGCCAGGGCCAATGTTTCTT